CTGCCCACCCGGGCTTGTGCTCCAGGCCACAGTACTGCCACAACCATGGCCTTGTACTGGCTTCACCCTGCAGTTTTGCCCGCTTACACCCTGTGGCAGCTTGTGATGTTGTGTCCTCTGTGATGCGGGGTTAGAGTTGGGCACTGTGGTTCACATCCCTTCTCCAACACTGAGACGTTGTTGCCCCTCTGTGCCTCAGCTTCCTCATCTGTAAGATGGGATAATAAGACCGGTATCAAAAGCTGTTTTGAGGATGGTGTGTGTGCGTGTGTGTGTATGTGTGTGTCCACCACTTAAAACAGTGCCAGACCCCACCTGATAGGACAGCAAGAAATATTTTATGCAGCCTTTCCAAGCTGAAACCTAAACAAATCAAAGTAAGAAGAGGAACCATAGGCCTTACTGCTTTTATCAGTGAGATTTCTTTTATGATATAGGTTGACTTCACATGAAGGAAGGTGATGATGGAAAGAGCAGTAGGTAACAAGTATTGAGCATTTTCTTTGGGCAGACGCCATCCTCAGCATTATAGTACCTAATGAAACTCCCACAACACCCCTGTGCTATAGGTCTTGTAATTATTATTCCTGTTTTACAGATGAGAAGCTGAGGCCTGAGCTAGTAAGTGGGGGCAAGGGGGCAGAATTAAAACACAGGACAGGCTTCCAGCCGAGACCTCTGATGGGCACATCCTTATCAGTTCATTTTATTCGAAAGACCCAGTGGGTGGCGGTTGTCTTTGACCCAGTACAGGATCCCGTTTTGCTTTCTTCTTAAAAGATTTTTTTTTTATTTTTTTTAATTTTTTATTTTTTTATTTTTTATTTATTTCTAGGAGAGAGAGAGAGACAGCGTGAGCAGGGGAGGATCACAGAGAGAGGGAGTCACAGACTGAAACAGGCTCCAGGCTCTGAGCTGGCAGTCAGCACAGAGCCCGACGCGGGGCTCGAACCCACGAACCGCGAGATCATGACCCAAGTGAAAGTCGGACTCTTAACCGACTAAGCCACCCAGGCGCCCCTCTTCTTAAAAGATTTGATATCAAATTCTTTTGAGGAGGTTTATCTTCTTTTCATGAAGATTTATAAACTAGGCATTACATGTGTGGATTGCAAGTGTTCTAATCTGTCATGACTTAACAAACAAAACGTGTATCAAAGGGAGACTTGGGATTGTCTTTTCCCGGCCAAGGTAGGAGCTGTCTGTGGGGGTAGATGCATTAGTAACCAATCTCTTTCCTATCTGAATAGTAATTCAGTTGACTTCTAAAACTTTGACAGTGAGCACATTTTGACTGATATTGATAGTGTAAGAAGTGTGTGGCAGCAGAGATAATAAAACAAACCATGTGTTTCTTCCGAGAAAGAACCAAGGCTTTTCATGAGGGAAACTGGAGACAGAATTCTAAATGTCCTGTCAGTTTGTTCATTTAGTCTAATTTTCTTTCTCAAAGGGGAAATTTCTCAAGACCATTTTAGATCCATTCAGTTCACTTAATTCGACCATTCTTGGATGTTTTCGTTTTACAGTTTACAAATTGGGCCGTTTGAAATGGTTAATCATTTCCGATCTATTGTTTTCAGCCAGTTGGAGCTGTGGTGTTTAATAGCAAATGGAAAGATGTGTCATTTTGGTTGATTTTCTTTGGTTTCACAAAGAGATGTAGTAGGAAGTCCAGTTGGTTTCCAGCTTAAGTTACTCATTCAGGAAACACTGAGTTCAGCGTTTTTTGTTTGTTTGTTGTTTGTTTGTTTTTTAATCTTTCAGTTTATTGTTTAAGGTGACTCTTGTCATGGGTGTCATGGTGCTTTCACCTAGTGCATGTTTCCTGAAGAATACCTCTGGAGGAAGACAGGGTGTGCACTATCACGTAGGTGTAAGAAATGAACGTTGGGAAGAACTCAGAAGACCTGGATTTTCCTGTCTCTGGTTCTGTGGCAAGCATGACCTTGGATTTAGGGCAAATTCTTTACCTTTGCTGAGGCTCTTTTGTCTCATTTCTTTAAAGAAAATTTTTTTTATAGTTTATTTATTTTTGAGACAGAGACAGACAGAGCATGAGCAGGGGAGGGGCAGAGAGAGAGGGAGACACAGAATCTGAAACAGGCTCCAGGCTCTGAGCTAGCTGTCAGCACAGAGCCTGATGCGGGGCTCGAACCCACAAACTGCGAGATCATGACCTGAGCCGAAGTTGGACGCTTAACTAACTGAACCACCCAGGTGCCCCATGTTGTCTCATTTCTAACAGGGGAGCATTGGATTGGATCATCTCTAACACTCTCTTTTCTAAAAATTATGGTAGGTGCATGGGTGGCTCAGTTGGTTAAGCTTCTGAGTCTTGGTTTTAGTTCAGGTCATGGTCTCACGGTTCATGCAATCGAGTCCCAAGTTGGGCTATGCACTGACAGCGCAGGGCCTGCTTGGAATTCTCTCTCTCTCTCTCTCTCTCTCTCTTTCTCTCTTTCTCTCTCTCTCTCTCTTCCCCCCCTCCCCCCTGCCCCTCCCTTGCTCTCTGTCTCTTTCAAAAATAAATAAATGAATAATAAAAAAATATGGTAAAATATACATAATATAAAATTTACCATCTTAACCATTTCTAAGTGTACAGTTCAGTAGTGTGAAGTGTCTTCACACTGTTTGTGCAAATAATCTCTGGGACTCTTTTCATCTTATGAAACTGAAACTGTCCCCATTAAACAGCTCTCTGTCCTCCTCCGTTGGCCCCCAGCAAACCCCCTTCTACTTTCTGTTTCTATGAATCGGATTTCTCTATAAGTGGAACCATACAGTACTTTGGCTTTTTGTGCTGGCTTATTTCACATAGCGTGATGTCCTCAAGGTGCATTGGTGTTGTAGCATGTGACAGAATGTCCTTCCTTTCTAAAGCTAGATGATCTTCCATTGTGTGTATATACTGTATTTTCTTGACCCACTCCAATGCTACTTTTAGATCGAAACTTCCGAATTTTCCATGACCCTCATCTGCAGGCCACAGCTGTGGACCGGGCAGCGTGGCCAAGGCAGGGCGGCAGTTAAGGGGGAAAACCAGGTGGTGTCTGGTTCTGAGGCCGGTGCTACTTCTCTAAGGGCAGGCCATTCTCGGGGTTAACAGTGGCATTTAGAGTATGTGAAAGATGCAGTGAGTCTTTTTTTTTTCTTAAAGAAATAGTTTTATTATTAAATATGTTTGGGAAATACTGGTCTAAACAAATTTACAAGACTGTTTCTTATGGGATTATTCACAGTCTTTTTTTTTTTTTTTTTTTTTTTTACAAATAGTTTATTGTCAAATTAGTTTCCACATAACACCCAGTGCTCATCCCCATGAGTGCCCTCTTGCATGCCCATCCCCCCTTCCCCCTACATCCATCAGTTCTCAGATTTTGTCAGCATTCAAGAGTCTCTCATGGTTTGCCTCTCCCCTTCCCCCACCATTTCCCCCCTTCCTCTTCCCCTTGTTCCTCAGTTCAGTTCCTCCTAATCCTCCTATACGTGCAAACATATGATATCTGTCCTTCTCGAAGATGCAGTGAGTCTATACCTGCTAACTTATGATGCTGACCAGGCTTTGGGTCAGCACAGTTAGAGAAGTGGCTGGAGTGTTCCAGTACTTTTTAGTGGGTTTTTCCAAAAAGTCCATGTTTTATCAAGATCAAGTGAAGTGTCACTGGATCCTGAGACATAACAAAGGAGTCCACAGTGACTATGGGGTTCTTCTCCACTTAGTGGTATTTCTGTTCTTGAGACAAAGATCATTTCAGGAAATGCTCCCAAAGGTAGACAGCCCCCTGTGTTTTGCTCTCTCTCCTCTGTGTCTATTGTTTCGGTCTCTTTGGCGTTCTGAAAGAATGCGTCTCTCTGTGGCTGTATCTGGGCTTTTAAACTGTTCCAGTTTTGTTGGGAAAGGCTCACAAGTACATTTCTTATGAAGTCTGTGAAGAAAAAGGAAAGATATTTGCCACTGTCCAATTGTTATAATTATAGCAAATGGCAGTCAAAAGCAGAAAAGGGCAATTAGAGAGAAAATTCCTTCCTGTCTGCTAGAGAAGGCAATGAAAATGGCAGATTTAGCTGCTCGTACTTTGTACTTTGTCAGAGAAATCTTTTTTTAAATGTTTGTTTATTTTGAGAGAGAGAGTGTGTGGGGGAGCTGGGGAAGGGCAGCGAGTGTGGGAAAGAGAATCCCAAGCAGGCTCCCCGCTGTCAGCACAGAGCCCAACGTGGGGCTTCGTCTCATAAGCCATGAGATCATGACCTGAGCTGAAATCAAGAGTCCGACACTTAACCAACTGAGCCACCCAGGAGCCCCGTCAGAGAAATCTTTTAGGAGCCCCTCCTCTGATCTACCTGGGATCAGGATCAGGTATTTCTGTGCTCCCATCCGGATTTCTGTGTCCAGAGCTCTGTAGCTCTAAGAAGCCCCTTCTTCTGTGCTCATGAAGTCTTATGGACCAAAGGCTGAGTGCCACTTGGGGTCTTGCTTGGGCCCCCAGTGCTGCTACTCAGGTGGGAGAGAACACGGTGGTGATATTCTGGATGACGGTATGTCTGAGCCTGCAAGATGATAAAAGCCATAATTAGTGAAGCTCATCTTCATGAGAAACACACACTGCCAGCACCGATACTGTCTCTGTTTTGTTTGCCATGCTTTCAAGTTTACAAGATTTTAAGTGAACTCTCCCAAGAACACTGTGAACCAGTTAAGTGTCAGCTCCATTTTACACAGGAGGAAAGAGCCCCAGTCAGTGACTTGCTCAAAATCATGTAAGAACAGGGCAGCCCCGTAGGAGGCCCCTGCCAAGATGTGGAAGTGCGTCATTGCTGTTCCCTCTCCCGCCTAAGTTTTTGTCTGTTCCTTAGGAAGCATCACCAAGCTCTCATTGTCAGCGTCTCCCCCAAATGTTGCTGTGTACCATACATGTTTACTTGGTGTTTTGCTAGCTATGGTATACGATGACCCTTATCTGACTTAATCTTTTTCTCTTTTGTCTAAAATACAGAATTTGGAGAAAGGTGTTATCTCAAGGAAGAGTGACACAGGTAAGTCATGATATTTTCCCCTTAACTTATGAGTATGTACCCAGGTACGTTTCTTATAAATTGTATTTCGGTGAGGTGAATTTCCCCTTCTGATTTTATTTATGAGATGAAGATTGCTGTGAAAATGTTCTGATCTCTCACGAAGACATGAGGAGAACACTTACTGACATAGTGGCATGTGATTTGTATTGGAAACGACAGCTAATAGGTTAGATTTGATGTCCTTGACCACCATTTGTTGAGTTTCCAGTGAGGGCAGACAACTGTGCCCGGTGGCGGCTGTGGGGGCCATGGAGATGAGAACGGCACAGTGTCTGATGAAGAGGCCCCCTAACCTCTGCCTGGAGCCAATTCCCTGCTTGTTGACCTGCACACCGGTTTTCCCGAAGGTTAGCTTGCCAGCCACGTGCCGGCCACATCTGTCAAACTCATCCCGAGAACCCTGGTGGAGAAGCAACGACTTGTGTCTTTGTGGGCCCCCTGTACTTCCATCCCAGCCCAGAGTCACCCTGACATGCACTCCCTTTCCGGATATTGTAAACGTCTTTAAAAATGTGACCATGATGTCACAGTTGGCTTTTTTTTTTCTTGTGCTGTGTGAAATACGCCTCAGTGTGTTGATGAGAGCACAAGGCTGATGTCTGCACGTGGGGTCTCTTCCCAAAGGGTGTGAATGTTGCCGATGTCAGTCATCCCAGGGTAGGCCATGGAGACCTACACAGTGTGCCTTGGACAGGAGGGAAAGGGTACCCTTTCCTTTCTAGGCCTTCGTTTTTTAAGCCTGGGTTCTGTAGGGTCTAGGTGGCAGGCACACCGGGTCGTATGTGCAGAATGGCCTGTGCTGGGGCCCGGCATGCAGGGGACCATGGGAGCACAGGTGGGAGACCTCAGCTCTGAGACTGGTGTATTTAAGGAGTCCCTTTGGGTCATTGCCTCTTCTTCTTTGTATTACGACACCTGTATGGCCCAGCCACGCCTCCCCATGTGGAGATGTTCTCTCTGCTGTCAACCCCTGTGGATTTGGGCAATTGTTTATTCTATGGGAGCTGATAGGGCTCCTTGTAGAAAATAGTTATTAAATGAACAAATGATGCTAGTCTGGGACATGGGCTTGAAAGTACAGAGGGGAAGTTACCTGGATAAGTAAATCGACATCCTTGCAGTTATAAGTGATGAATCTGGGTATAGGTACCTTGGTATTTATATTTGCAGAAAAGATCCAGGAGGCATATTTGCCACAGTGTTAACATGGGTCTGCAGGACCCGGGTGGGGGCCTACAAAAGCAGCTCTCGCAGAAGAATCGGAGTCTCGCCACCCTCAGGCCTGGGCCGCAGGCTCCTGCGGCAGGTGGCTGGGTTTCTGTTGGCTCCCGGCCTCATCAGTAGATTCATGGGTGACAGTTGTTCTCACCAAAGAGAACACAACTGGAGTGGCTCTTCACATGTGTGTGTGCGTGCACATGTGCGTGAGTATTTAAGGCCGCTAGCTCTTCAGCTTTTATCAGAGGAACACCACACTATTCCTCATCGTGATGAAATCCATGTTTCTAGATGATGTCTGAGGTCTAGGAAATATTGGTGCTTAGTAGAGTGTTTGGCACATGACAGGTGCTCAGCAGCTGAAGAATAGAGAACTTTTATTTTCTTTTTCCTTCGAAGAATTATTATTTCTCCCTCAGAGATCTTTTCTCACCACCTTCTTGGTTTTGTCACCTTTCCTTAATGGGCAGCTTACCCTTGGCCTCAGAACCACATGAGTTCTTTCCTAGCCTTGACTCACTTCCTTTCCTTCCCTTGCTCGCCCACTATGCTCCTCATTATTGTCAGGCACTTAGTGTACAGTCCATTTCTTGTACCTTCCGGGAGGAAGGTATGAAGATCTATCTTGAGTTGTGACAGTGTTTGCTGATGGCAAATGGTGGTTGAGTTCAGAGAAGTTTGAGCGGAGTGATAGGGAACCAGTAGGGTTGTATTAATCAGCTCCACTGACTGGGCAGGGGGAGCTTAAGAGTCAGAGGCAAGGGCAGTACAAGCAGAGAAGACCATGGCCACGGTGGGCACTGGGGTCTAGACTCAGCCAGAATGTGACCCAGTTAGGGGGGCTTAGGATGTCTGTCAGCAAAATATTCTTGCAGCTGATATAAAGAACATCAGTAATTTATGGATACAAGTGATTTTCAGCACCTAACTGTGCTAGCCTGTTTGTTTGTATTTCCTGGAATGGAGGTGGGGCTAAATGGCATGTCAGTGATTTTCTGTCATTCATTATCCACAGGGTCTTAGGAACTGGGTTGGGTGCATCCTTACTTTTCCATCTCATCACTAGTAACTGCCCCAGGTGCATCTGATTTCTCAGCCATATCTAACTGCTTCTGTTTCCAGGGCCGTGATTCCACTTGCTGTCTGAACCTTCACTGTTCCCTCTGTCGAGAAGGTCCTCCTACCTCTTCTTGGGCATCCACAGGACACAGTGTCTCCATCCTTTCTTCTGGGAAGGCCTCACTCTGGGGTCCCAGATGGCTCAGTGGCCTTTCCCCAGTTTGATAGCTGTTAATCTCTAGATCCACCCTCTTAGTGTAGCACTTAAGTCCTTCATGATCAGATCTGGCTGAGTCAGCCTCCCTCTCTAGACCCAGCTTCCCTCTCTAACTTCATCATGGACTGTTCCCTTCATCTTTTTCTCAGAGATGCCTGACAGATTCCCTGGTCACCTACTCCTGACGCTGCAGAGATAAGGCGGGCTGTGGGCTCTAATAACTGCACTGCCTTCTCTGCCACTGATCGGCTACTTCTGTGCCTGATTCTGCAGAAAATTGCTGCATTTTATTATTTTCATTAACAAAGTTTTAAAAAATTATTTATTTTGAGAAAGAGAGAATGCAAATAGGGGAGGGGGAGGTGGAGGGAGGGAGAGGGAGAGGAGGAATCCCAAGCAGTGTTCACACAGTCAGTGCACAGAGCCTGACATGGGGCTAAAAACCTGCGAAACCGTCAGATCATGACCTGAGCTCAAGTTGGATGCTCAACCTCCTGAGCCACCCAGATGCCCCCCAAATTGCAGCATTTTAACAGGAACTCAGGAAAGGCCCCTTTCCAGGAGTTCTGCTTGCACTTGTCCCCCATCCTCTGTGCTCTCACAGTTCCTGCTCTTGGCTTTGTATTAGAATGGCTGCCTTCTGCCTTCCGAACTAGGCTCAGGCTCTTACGAGTTGGGACTGTGCTCATCTGGTCTCTGTGTGCCAGAGCCTTGCACTCAGTACAGGCTTCCAGAGGTTTCCTGGATGAGTGCACCTAGGACGCGTGATCAAGGCATGAGAAAAAGGAAGGTGATGATTTCTTAGGTGCAGAAAAAACAGCTCATAACACAGGACTCTGGTATAAGCAGAAGGGAATAACTCACTTTTTTTTCTTCTTGCAAAGCCTCTTCCCCATGTGGAGGAACTGTTGTCTTTGTGGGTAGAGTGGGAGTTTTGCTGCTATGGTAGAAGAAATGGCAGGAGCTGATTACTGCAGGATTAACGTTTTGACAGATGGATTTGCTCTTTTAAAAATTATCGTGAACATACAGGAAGCTACAAAGAGTAATATAATGACATCCATGTAGTTACCACCTAGTTTAAGAAATAAAACACTCCTAACACAGTTGAAGCCTTTCTACCATTATCTTGATTTGATGTTTATATCATTCTCATGTAATCTTTTATATTTTTACATCATATATGATATATATATGCATATATATAGTATATATCCATCATATATATTTGTGTTTATCTTTTCACAAACCGTTGATTTATATGGTTATTCCTTTGTAGCTTGCTTTTTATTTTTTTCAAGTCTGTACAATTCATCTATAATATCCATCTGGATTGATGCATCAAGTGCTAGTTAATTTTTATTCCTGTATAGTGTTCTACTTTGTATATTTTGTTAGTAGGTTTTTGAGTTGCTTCAGATTTTTCCTTTCACACAATCCTGCTGTGAACTCTCTTGTTATATATCCTTGTTTACACATATGCAAGTTTCTCAAGGATGATTAGTAGGAGTGGAGTTTCTGGATCATTGCGAATGTGCATCTTCAGCTCTATTAAATTTTGCAAAAAATCATTCTCTCAAGTTTATTCCGTTTTTAACAAAAGTAAGTCTTTATCACTCCTCTTTTGATATGTCACTTACATTAATGTTTCACATGTAGTAGATTGAATACTACATTTCAGCTGAAATATAAGACCCGTTTAAGGCTTATCTATGTGTCCTATTTATAGAGCCAAGAAGCTGATTTAAAATAAAGGTAGGTATGTGGAATGTTCATATTTATATAAATTCCTACAGGAAAAGAATTAGGTCACATTCAGGTTGTTGAGCATTTCCTTTTAAATTTTTTTATTGAGTTTTAACCAAAGAGCATTTTGTATTATTTTTAGGATCTGGATGGCTCACTGTGGAGCTATTTGTTGTATGAATATTTGAATGAGTGAATAAATGAGTGGAACTATAGAACTGAACATAAGAGTAATAAAATATAATGGAATAAAATTTAAACCAGATTATATCTCTGAGTCGAGGTGTTAAAGGGACAGGGACACGGCGGGGGTTAGGTCCCCATGTTCATTGCTGGAAGCCTGGCTGGAGGCAGCAGTTTACGAGAAGTCTGCCTTCTGCCAACACCCCTGTCTGGTGGCAGGGTGCTGACACAGTGGCCGTTTCTATCTGTTACTTTATCACAAGCTCAGAACCTCATGTGCTGCTCCGTTATGGGGACTGGGCAGCCATCTTTACCGGCAAGACCTCCGACGTTCTTCCCTGGGCAGGTGAGCCTAGCATGCGAGGTTACTACTTACTGGCCATTGTAAGGAAGTTGGCCACTCTGAGGTGAGTCTCTAGAGGGCTGGCAAAGATTGCCAGTGTTGTTGTAGATGGACTTTTATGCCACACTTCTTGCTAACGCCCTGCTGCTGTGGAATTATGGCTGTTTTCCTGGAGATAACACTTAATTCTGACTAGGTGCCTTGTAAAGCAGGGTAGAGATGATTGAGTTATTTATTTGCAAGCTCTTGTGAACTCACAGGACAGAAGCAGCCACTGTTGAATGTTTCCTTAAAGAGTCATCCAGAACATTCTTGAGATAGTATATATATCTTCTAGGGCTGCTGAATTGAGGTGCCACCAATTGTGTGGCTTAAACAATAGAAATCTGTCTCTCAGTTCTGAAGGGTAGAAGTCTCAGATCAAGGTGTGGACTTGATCCACCTCCTATTCTGAGGACTTTCTCTTTGGCTTGTATATGGCTGTCTTCTCCCTGTGGCTTCATATCATCTTCCCTCTGTGTATCTGTGTCCAGATTTCCTCTTTTTGTAAGGACACCAAATTTCAGTTGAGTGCTCCCACTAATGACCTCACTTTACCTTGATTACCTCTGTAAAGACCCAGGTCCGGATAAGGTCACATTACGAGGTCCTAGGCATTAGGACTCCAACATATGCAGTTTGGGGGACACATTTCAACCCACAACAGTAACAGTACAATGTAGGATAATGTGGGAATTGTTGGAAGGCTCGTTGCAAACAAGATTCTCAGCTACAGGGGAGGCTAGTGTTCTAGACATTTTCATACTTTCTCACATTTACAGTCATTCTTTCGACAGATGCAGGCATGGCTCACAGTTTGTTACCACAAGGTTGATCTAGGACAATGAGCTTATTTACCTGCTCACTTCCAGCGAGGATGTTTCAGAGATCAGTGTAAAAAGAGATTTTGTCACTATGATTACATTTAAATTGATTTTCCCCCCTAGGAGTTTATGGCCTGAAGGCTTGCTTTGTTTTTAAGTTTATTTCAGTTGTTGAAAAATAAAAGCTGAAAACTTTTTTTTTTTTTTGGTTCTAGATTTAAAAGGAATTGTATTTGTCATCCAGAGTCAAAGTAATTCTTTTCATGCAAAGAGAGCAGAACAGTTAAGACAAAGCATCTTAAAGCAAGCTGCAAATCTTACACAGGTGGGTAGTGATGGCTGGGGTGTCTGCTAGTTATTTATTTGTTGATACATTCATGTTTTCCAAAGCACTTTGTCTATAGAGAATTAGTTTCATTCAGATGAAAAAAACTCTTCTGACTTGTTTTGCTTATTTAATATTGACTGGTGTTTAAAATGCTCTAGTTAATTCCTAATGCTCAAAGCATCATCTTCTAAATTCTTATTTTGTTAAATTTAAGAGACTTATGTAATTGTGTAGGATTATTGTGGTTTTGTCATAGAGCATGAGAAAAAGAAGTGGAAGGAATAACATTTTAAAAGCGGGTCTTAAAATAGCAGAGATAATTAATGTTTAAAATTTTAGTACCAGGTTCTAAGGCAATTTTCATGTTGAAGTAACTGTCATTAACCTTAGTGTGGTGTTTCCTCCATGAGTCTCTTAATCTGTTTTTTAATTGGATATCATTAATTGAACTTTTGAGTTGATTTGTAATGTAATATCCAAGAAGGATTACAGAGAGAAAGATAGGCACATGCAGGTACATCTTAATAATGTTTAAAATAGGCATGAACTGAATCTCACGCTGTTACGAATAATGCTGGCAGTTTGAGTAAAGGAAGATCTACTTTCTTGTCTTACCACAGAGGTGCTTTCTTCTTTAGCCAAGCAATAAATAAATAATAAATAAAATTCCTCCAAGCCTGCTCGCTACACCACATTACCATGGCCTTCAAGACAGAAGTGCTTGTCTGCAGATAAATGCCATCCCTCAGCTCTCTCAGCAACGCTTTGACAGGAAATGTGCTTTCTTTCTGTTGGTGGGTGCTGGGATAAATAAAGGATTGGAAATATCAATGGAAAAATTAGCAGCCTTAATGGTATTCAAGGCAGAGATGCTGCTGAGAATAAGGTTTAATTGTGCTTAATCCTTAAATGCTTTACGTATAAAATTCATCCAACCTTCCAGCATCCTCGTGAGGATGGGTCCTTTGTTTCCCTGCTTGGAGCATCGTACCTTCTTGAGGGAGATGAAAGACTTGCATGCCAAAAAGCAGATTTTTTTGGCGGGGGGGGGGGCCATGTAACTAGCTATAGAAGCAGTTTGGTGAGTTTCAAATTCTTCTTTGTCTGGAAGCCCAACTTTTGGACATTTTCTTTTACTAAACCTTGTCTGATTTCATCAGAGAGGTAGACGTACAGCAACCTTGACTGGCTGGCCTTCTTTGCTCTGGTGAATGCACTAGCAGAGTGGCCAAACCAAGGCTGCATCAGGGAGGACGGGGAATCGTGAGCCTGCATAATCCCTCAGTTGGGTCCAGGCAGGCATTAGTGGAATCTGGCTCAAGTGGGCCTTGGCAGTTACCCCAAATTGTGTCATCAGTGATGACATCAGGACAGAGTTATGTGTGGCTGACTCCTGTATGAATTCAGAGAATGTCTATCCCTATGTCACCATATGTGTCCTTGTTCTCAGAAATACCTTCCATCTTACAGAGGCAGAGTCATAGGTTTAGATTCTGTATCTTCCCTGTTTACTCCAGGGTATCCAGCTTTTGCTGCCTCCATAAGTACCTTCAACCTAGAGGGCAGTCAACATACAGCAGTTGAAATGAATCCAGAGGAAACTGAACAAATTAAGATGAAAACTTCCTTTGAGTAAATTATTTTATCCATTCAAAAATTTTTTGTTTCTTAAATTGATAGTGGTCACTCCCTCTCCTCTTAACTAGAATAGCTATTTGATTTCTCCCAGCGAAACCACAGAGTGTAGGGAAATGAGTAGAGTAAAAATTGAGTATGAGTTTGTGCTAGGAAAATGTGATCTCATGGGTGAGTGAGTCTTTCGGGGACAATATGAGAGAGAAGAAGAAAATTCACTTGACTGCTTTAACACAGACCACAAAGCAATGACTTAAGGAAGGTGGAGATGTACTTCCCCTCACAAATAGTCCAGCTGGTGGGTGGGCTGGAAGTGGGCAGTTCTACTCCAGATAACTTCTGTTTTGTTACTTTACCATGGGCTAAGTTGTCTTCTCCTCACCGGTGTGGTTGGAACAGGTTTACCACCACTATATTGGCCTTCCAGTATGTGGAGGACAATCAGTTTCCTTCTAAGGATGTGACCTTGAAGTTGTACAGGTCACTTCCCCTACATACCATTGTCCAGAACATAATCACATGGCGCACTTAGGCTGGGAAGGGTAATATCTCATTGGCGGCCTTTGGATCCAGTCAAAACTCAAGGAGTTCTTATCGCTAAGGGGAAGAAGTGACAAATTGACATCTCTGCTAATGTCAGGATTTTGTTTACACATCTAGGACTCACCTAGTCAGTAGAAGACTTTATGTATGAAACTCTCATTCATTCATTCATTCATTCATTCAGTGTTTACAGAGCAAAGTACTGGATATACAGGCATCAACAAAGCATAGGCCTTGTACTTGAAGAACCCACAGTCCGGGGGAGACAGGCCCATAAATGGGCAAATTTAAAGCAAGGTGGAAATGCAGAAGCACAAGGTACTGCGTGATTCCACTTATACGAAGTATATAAAATAACCAAATTCATAAAATCAAAGACCTGGAGTGTAGTAACCAGGGGAGGGGGAAATGAGGAATTCTCAATAGGCACATAGTCTCAGTTAAGTAAGATGAATAAACTCTAGGGTCTGCATTCCAGCCTCATGCCTACAACCAGCAACACTCCATCGTACACTTAAAATTTGTTAAGAGGACAGAGCCTGTGTTAAGTGTTCTTACCACAGCATAATAAGAACAAGTAAATAAAACATTAGGTACTAGTGTGGATAAGGAGGATGACGGGAGCTGGGAGGGTTTCTCTGTCGGCAGCCAGGGAAAGGCGGTCACTGAGAAGCAGCGCAGGCGTGGGTGCCAACCTGGAGGGTCAACCTGACTGCGGAGGGGCTGTGTGTCCTGCTGAGGACCCTGATCTTTCTCAGGACCTCTCAGGATGCCTTCTGGGCATTTGAGAAGTATTTCTTTGAGATCCAAGATGCGGCAGGACCTGCAGTCACGTTACTAAAAGCACCCCAGGGTGAACACGACTGCTAGGGAGAGCTGTTCTCCTCAACACGTTGGGTCTGCATTTAAAACTGTCTAAAACCGTCACTCTAGCGGTTGTGAGGAAGGCAGCGGAACAGATCCAAGTCTGGGGCAAGAAGCCTAATCTAAGGGCCCCCTCCAAGCGAATGTGACCTCTGCTGGTGCTTTGTCCCAGGCATTTTGAGAAGCACTGGGCTGGGGGTGAGGGGTGGAGCCGGTAGGGGTGATGGCAGTAGGTGATGTGAGGCCAGACCCGGGGAGTTTGGGCGAAGGCCTGAGGAGACGTGGGGACCAGGGCCCAGCTAGGGCAGGTGTGGAGGGACAGGGCCACCATCCACAGCTGCGGATGGGATTTGCAGGTTTGCAAGGTGCAGATGACTTCAGGATGCTGTAGAGGAAGTCTCAGGTGGAGGTGTCTGCTGCCGGAGCCTGGATATTTGTTTGCTTTAAACTCAGGAGAAAGGTTTGACCAGAAGGTGGTGGATTTGGAACCGGGAACATACACAGGGTAGTGGCTGAAAGCCTGAAGGTGCTGTTTCCAGGGGGGCAGTGGGAGCCTGGGAAAAACTGGGATTTGGGGGCTGGGCAGAGCAGGAGCAGCCTCTGGGGAGACAGAAGGTGTGTGTGAGACCCAGAGAAGGTACACTGTCTGACCTCAGGGAACCTGAAGGAATAGCCTTTCAAATAGCAGTCAATACTGTCCTGTTCCCAAGACAGAGCTAGTAGGAGAGGGTCTCTCAAAACATCCATTTCACTGGGTCTTCTTGTGCCCTTGTCCTGTCTGACACTTACTCAGGAGGCATCCACACCCAGAGTGCTTTGCTGTTGCAGACGCTGTTGTTGTTGTTATTCTTAATTGTGGTAAAAGAAAAAAACACAACACACAACATAAAATTTGCCCTCAAACATTTTTAAGTGTAAGTATCGTAAAGTATATTCACATGGTGTAACCAATTTCCAGAACTTTTTGTCTTTCTAACTGAAACTTATACCCATTAAACAACAATTCTGTGTTTCCTTTTTCCCTCAGCTGTTGGCAACCACCTACATCTGCTTTGTCTCTGTGAATCTGACTACTCCTTGTACCTCATATAAGTGACATCGTATAGTATTTGTCCTTTTTTATTTTTTGTCTGGCTTATTTTACTTAGTGTGGTAATGTCCTCAAGAGGTTCATCCGTGTTGCAGCCTGTGACTGGGTTTCCTTCCTTTTAAATTGCAGGCTCCACGCTCAGTGCAGAGCCTGACTTGGGGCTTGATCTCATGACTGTGAGATCATGAACTGAGCCAAAATCAAGAGCCAGATGCTCAAACCAACTGAGCCACCCAGGTGCCCCTCCATCTTTTTAAAGGCTGAATATTAATATCATTACTTTGACAGCCTCTCCTCCATCTCTTCTCTGGTAGCTATGGTCACCATGATGGCTATTTTCATCCACAGGTGCTACTTTCTGGGATGCTCATTTGGTATTCCACATGGGCTCCCCTGCAGTGCCCTTTCTCCTCTTGGGCATCTGTGCTGCCCTTAGAATCTGGAGGGAGGCAAGACCTGCGCTTTACTTCTTTTTGTCTCCCCCACGGCACCTAGCGTACTGCCACACACTGACAGCATTAGAAACTATTTTCACGGATACATTTTTCTCAGCTTTTAAAGCTTAGAAAGCAGTTTCATTTCACTAAGGTATTTGCCTCCTCCAGCACTTTAATTTATGCTTGTATTTTCGGTTTGCTTATACTTTATTTTTATTGTCCTTTGCATTTACACTGAGCAGTTTAGACACCTTGTGTAGTAGGTGCCTTAGATTGCCACTAGGTGGCGATATTGGTTTTACGTTTAAAGACCTGTAATTAAGCACCATTATTAAGCAAACCCTTCTTTTACAGCATTTAATTTCTGTGATAATAAATGGAGTCTAGACTACAGCACTAAAGAAGCTTCCCTTTAATTATAAGATAGT